GGGCGGCGGCGGCGGCGGCGGGGGCGCCTCCTCCTGGCTGCTGGACGGGAACAACTGGCTGCTGTGCTATGGCTTCCTCTACCTGGCGCTCTACGCGCAGGTGTCCCAGTCCAAGCCGTGCGAGAGGACCGGCTCCTGCTTCTCGGGCCGCTGTGTCAACTCCACCTGCCTCTGCGACCCGGGCTGGGTGGGGGACCAGTGCCAGCACTGCCAGGGCAGGTTCAAGTAAGTGCCTTCGTCGGACCCCGAACCTCAGCCCTGCCCGCACTCGTCGCGGTCTCCTCCGCGCGGTCTCGGGTCCCCGGGCCGGGAGTGACTCGCGGTGCGCTGTCCCCTCCAGCCCCCGAGCCTCGGGGAACCCCGGCGCCGCGCAGAGCACTGACAGCCGTGGACGCCAAGCCTTTCCCGATGGTCCGTATGTCCGCAGCGACTTCTGGTCTCCAGCTCTTCATTTCCACACTCAGTTACGGTGTCAAACACCATTTTGTTAGGATACTATTTTTTAATCAGAAATTATGCAAGGGACTCATGAAGTCCTTGCGCTTTGTGAAACATTCAAACAATACAGAATTGTTTAAAGGGTAAAAGTTATGATCTACCAGTACCTCTACCCTTCCCTATTCCTCTCTAGAGGTAACCACTGCTAACGTTTTAGTTTATTTAGTAATAATCATCATAAGTAGAGTTTGCGATGGGCTTACTATGTGCCAAACACGGTTTGAAGCCCCTTGCATGAATTGATTAGCTCATTTGTTCCTTACGACAACCGTGATTTACTAGAATTATTTTAATGGATCTTCAGAGAGAAATCGAGGCAATGAATCTAAGTAATTTGCCCAAGATTAAACAGTAGAAGGACTGATTCGTGATTCCCAGTCAGCCAGCTTGACTCTAGAATGTTTACTTTTAGCCAGTATACTATGTTGAATTTGCTAGGACAGTCTTGAATTGAGAAATACGAGAGTGACTTTGCATTAGATAAAAGGATGAAATACCTGGACTTTTTAATGTGGTGAAGATAATGGATTTTCTTAACTGGTTATTTCACTGTGTGGGAGCATCACTTTGGTTTTTCTGAAGCCCAAGGTCCTTAGGGGTCCTTAGGAGTTTGCTTTACAACAGTAAAGATGCCATCTCTCTATTGGTTGATGTTTATTGCATTCTTTCTTGCCTGGTATGAAAAAAAATGGATGTGTGTGGGGAAGCAGCAAAAAAGATAGTTGAGGCCATTGGGGTAGCAATCTGACAACTTGAAGATAAGTCATTAAGTCAACCTCTCAGTCTTCTAGATATTTAATATGAAGTTTTCTGACCGGTTTGTGGCTCTGAAATTACACTATGTAGATTACTGATATTGTCAGGATGATGGCAAAATCTAAGTGAAATGTCTCTTGGGCTCTAAGGCAAAGGTGGGAATATGGTTCACCTTATTAATATATTATAGGAAAATTTCCCCGGAGTTCTAAACAGCATATTTTCCTTTTTTTTTCCTTCTTTGACTCTTGCTGATTAAAACAATGCCTCTTAAAACTCATTGTAAAAATGTATATTTTTAAATGGCACTTTGTAATTTTAGGTGGATTCTACTAAATTAATTTAGAGTAGGTTTTGGGAAGTGAAATCTCAAAAGGAAGTTTTATGAAATTTATGTATAGGAATAGGTTGAAATGTTTCCTGGCTTCATGCTTTCACAAATTAGTATAGTATTATAGTTTTTTTAATACATTTTTTTTTTTAATTTGGACGAGGTGCTAATGAAAAGTTTAAAGAAGTGTTTCAAGATGAGGAAAAATATCTTTTTGAATTGTGCTTGTTAACACCTTTTTACTTAAGTGTTCTCAAACTTTTGCTATGACTATAACAGCCAGCCTCTTTACTAGCAAGAATTTCGAACATATAAACTGGCAGTCAACAATGAAAAAAGCCACATTCATTCTTTACATCTTTTTATACATAAATAGGAAGGTCGCCTGATTCATATGTAATTTAGGGATACTGGCCATTGTATGGGTAGATTTACTCCATTTGTCTAAGGAGGAAAATTGCTATAGTACTGAGAAGCTCCTGTCTACATTCTATAGTAGTGGCATTTGTTAATCAGCTAGGTCAGCACCCTGTAACCTCACTAGCAGATGTCCCAGTTAGTGGGAAAGATCACAGATCAGATTAAAACTAGCTTAAGTAACATAGATAGTGTTCATAAACATAATACATTAGTAAGAGGAAGAGTTTTTAAAAATATAGATATAGTTAACAATAAAACATGAACTAATCATCAAATGTTCATTTCCTTGGAAGCTGTTATTTCCTATGATTCCTTGTATTTTGTTGAAGAGAATACATTTCATATCTCTGTGGAATACAAGCTATTAATTAGAGTAAATATAACTGGTAGAGCTCTGCATTTTGTTATGTATACTCTTAAGGGTAAAGAAATCGTGGTATTTAAGGTTAAGCGGGAGAATCAATTTAGAAGAAAAGATTTCTTCCTAGTAAAGTACTTGCTAGCTAAGAAAGGTTTATTTAAGGATGGTGGCTTGAAGTAATAACACAGTGGGAACGACTTTAACTGGAAATTCTCACTTCATTAATTATCTTGAAAATTTTTTACTAAACTGGAGGATGGCAACCTAACAAACAGACATCAAAAATGATCAATCTTGGTAAGCAGGTGTCAAAATTAATTGGCTGGTTCCATGGTAACTTAGCTTTTTTTCTGCTCTAGGGATTTCACTTGGGAGTAAGAGTGTTCTTCAAATGCTTCTTTAGAATGGAAGATTGATGGTTGGGGAGAGAAATGCAGAAGCAAATGTGTTATCAAAAGTGGTACTTCAGTTCTCTTAGCATTGATTCCAGACTTCTATCCGTTTCTATTTGAAAAGTATAAAACACTCAGAATTACAAGCCATTCCTCATGTAGGTAAAACGAAATGAACACTGATCTTCAGCTAAAGCTAGACTGAAAGATTTAGGACTGAGAATCAGAAAGGAGGGTGACAGTTTGAAATATAATAATGAAGGATATGATGTATGCTAACTCAAATAGTATTTACTTGAGTAGCTTAGTATAACATTAGGCTAGACAACATTTTGCTATAAACTTTATTTGAATAAATGACATTCTCTTTTAGAAGCTAGTTTTTTAGAATTATTTTTGTAGAGTAGTTGAGATTTATATTTATATTTTGTGTTCAAACTTGCACATTTTCTCGCTAATGTGACTTAGGAACCTATGACTTCTAATTTCTCTTAGGTAATCAACCTAATGTAATGCTCTGAGATTGGAAAATATCTCATTATATTGTGAGTAAGTTGTAAATATAAATTTATTATTAAAGCACATTTATCGAACATTTTTCTAAAATCATCTATTAAATCTTATTGTATGTTCAGTGTATGCAGGTATTTATTTAACCTCTTAGGTTAGTCAAATATAGGTGATGCTGAATTTCACACATTTGTAATGGAAGTATTCTGTTTCCAGAGGCAGCAAAATGAAGATATATCAGGAACGAGGTTGCTGTTATAAACAAAGGGCAGGGTTGAATCCATAGGTGTTTTTCCTAAGCTACTGTTTCAAAAAATGTATGTGTATACATACACAGACATATTTAGAATCCTTTTTATTATTAGTTGGGCAACAATCAGTAACTATAAAGTTAAATCAAATGTTCTCTGTCCCCAGGTCTTATTTATTTCAAACTAAGATTGTAATATGCAATTTATATCCATGGGTTTTTTCTACATTATTGAAACATATAATCATATAATAGAAATTTAAAATAATTTAAGTGTTTCTAAGATCCTACATTGGTAAAGTGATTTACTTGTAGTAACATGGTTTTCAGGAACACGTGTCTGCTTGATTTGGCTCCTTTGGCAGATTAGACTCACCCCTCCTGTTTTTCTGCAAGTGGTCTTTTAAAGTTCCTTGAAAGTGTCACATTCCTTTTGGCTTCAGGGCATTTCACACAATGC